AATGCTCTGAGAAAGAGTCCAGGATATGTAGGAGACAGAATGAAAGACGGTCCAACTTTCAGACCCACGAAAAGAAAGAAAAAAGTTATAATGGAACTCTTCGTCTGTCGGTGTGAGTGACAGACTAAACCAACGTCAGGATAATGTCGTTTTAATCGCAGAATGATGCTTTATACCTGTAGTTAAAACCTTCTCGTGGGCAGAAAAGAAATATGATTAGCCTTTGTGACATTATTTTTTTTTCTTGAAGTTGTCGTTTTGATTGCCCCATGAACTTCTGAAGAATTCCTCACCAGCTGTGACTGGTAATTAAAAGCGTTCTATGCGTAAGTGCTTGCAGCATTCCGCGGCAATCTAGTCGATCCTCCAGATCGGTGTTGGCAGAGTAGCAGATATGCAATGACGTAACCTTTTGCGTGGGTTTGTACCTCACGTCCGTGGCACCTAGAGAGCAGTGCGTCACTCGTCACTCAGCAACACCCACCTGAACGTCACTCGGCCACTGAGTGTTTCCGGATGTCGGGTTGTTTACATGTTTTTCGTAATGAGTAATGAGTTTCCTCCAATAGTATGTAGAAATCGAAATGTTACCCTTTGTGAATTTCTTTGACTTCGCCTGCTCCATAAAGGAAGAAGCTGTTCCAGGTGCTCCAGTAAATGCTGAATCTAAAACTAACTCAAGAATATTAGTGCTTGTTGATAGTAATAAAATGTACGCTCTTTGACCTCCTATTCTATGCACACTTCAGAGAAACCACCTGTGTCGGGTGGATATGTGTGGGTCACAGAAATAAAAAATTATCTTTTACCCGCTTATTACTGTCGGGAGATATCCCAAACACAACTTTACGATAGTTGTAATTGATTAGTAATGGGTACGTACGTGTTGTGCTAACCTGCATGTGACCTAGACGTAAGTAATGGCAATTACCCACGTAGAAATTAAGAAAATCAATAGTAGTCAATGGTTCCTACATAATAGTTTTCAGACTTGATAACTCATTTCAAAAAATAATCAACGAAATTACCCGTAAAAATAAATTATATTGAAAATATATTTAAAAATTGAGATAGAATAGTCAGAAGAAATTAGAGTAGTCCAGTATTGCTCCGAAATACGAAGGTTAGATTGACTTTAATACTAAAAATTTGTATCAATAATGCTTCGAACATCTTTAAATCAAATATTCCATCTTTTCCTTGTGACTCATTACTCACAATATTTACTTGTTTGCAGAAATCTCATATTACAAAGTTTCTTTTATATCAGCCAAGCGTTCAGTGTTTAAAAATCCGAACACTACCAAAGGTCACATGCGTGGGCCACGCAGAAGCTGTCTCTTAAGACCCGGAACGAAATGTAGTGGGCGGGGTGGGCGGGAGGGGAGAGCAGGGCGTGAGGGGGGAAGAGATGGGGCGGAGAGGGCGGACCGGTGTGAGGTTCATAGGGGGTGGGGGGGGGTGTGAGGAGTAGCGCGCGGCAGGGGAGGTGGGGCAGGGTTGAGGGGGGTAGCGGCAGGGCATGAGGCGCTGAGCGGGGTGGGCGCGGGCGGGGCGAGCAGGAGCAGGGCAGCGGGGTCGGTGATAAGGCGCGGTGGCAGCGTCAATCGCGCGGCGGCGGTGGCGCTCCCTGAGCGACGGCGCGCGGTGCTGCCCCACCACCGCCTCCTCCGCCCCCGCCGCCCGCCCCGCCACCGCCTCCGCCACCGCCTCGCGCCGTGACTGCCTCCGCTGCGGGCGCCGCGCGAGACGTCATAACCTTCGGGGAAGGCGCCTGCTCGAAGCCGCTGCACACAGAGGCTGAAGCCACGGAGCGTGTGTGCGCAGGTCGAGATTTGCGCTGACTCTGGGAAGGTGATGTGGGTTGGCAAGAGGGAATTTTTGACATAAACAGTAGCTGGGCTGGGCAAGGAAGATTTCATGTTTCGGCGATTCCCACTTCTCGGAAGATATCTGATATGTTTTGATGTACACAATATAGTGAGTGTTCATTCTATATAAATTCATGCAGGCGAATTAGTAGAAATTCAAACAACATGGCACCAAGAAAGTTTATTTATTGTATTCTAAAAATGATTATTAATTCTAAAGAATATTGACTGAAGAGATATTATATCAACAGATAAGGCGAAAGTTACTGAAAGATATTTTCTAATAAATTAATGTTTTATAGTGTGATATATCATTTCATATTTCTATTCGTGAAGTGATCGGATATTGAAAATATTGAATTACTTTATTAGAATGTTTGTCATATCAATATAATCTGTCTCCAGTTAGATAACTTCCCTAAAAGATAATGTAGTGCTTGAAACTAACGTTTTTGAAATTCTTTTGATTTCTTCTCAGATTAGTGTACTCGTAGACACAAATATATACATTGAATTTGCCTCTCTCAATATACAGTAGAACCCCGGTAACCCGAACTAATCAGGGGTGTTTTTGTTCGGATTTGGGAAATGTTCGTATTATCCGAAAAAATGAAGTGTACAAATACATCTTTAGGATTACCAGGCGATGCAACGTAGCGTGCGATGCGAGAAAATGGCAACGTAGCGTAGCAAAGCGAATCATCCCGTCGTATCATCTAGCAGATTCAGTTCCTTATGGCCAAAGAAGATATCCGATTTTGCAAGTTCCTTTAAGTGAAAATTACGGCAGCATAAACGTGCGATATATCCCGTAGTTACCAGTGCAATAAATGTTTCCTTTCGACTTGTTTCAATAATTAGTTTTTCAGTTCTACAGTAATTATAAAATCTTTACTTTACACTACAAATGAGCATTTTGTTTATTTTATTTTTCATCTATCTCGAATTTTGTTCGGATTATCCGAAATTCCGGATTTGCTGGGTTTGGATTTGCGAGGTTCTACTGAATTCACTTTTATACAATAAGAGTGCCGTAGGCCCAATAATGAATTAAATATTTTCTCTTTTTAAAATAAAAAAATATCAGTTACTCGATTATGAAAATATTTGCAATAAAATTTCATTGATCTTTACAATCACATAATTCCAACTTTCTTTCCACTGAGAAATCTGAGAATCCAATTTCACTTGCTTATTGAAATGTGAATTAGTGAGATTAAGGTACGCGGAAGTTATGTGCTCCGCAATCGAAAGAATGCATCATAGGTCTTCTATTCACGCCTTTTACTCTCATAATTCATGTGATCCCACTTATCGTGAGAGACTTATCTCAAAAACACGTCATTTGTTCCTAAGACCATATGCTGAATCGATGAAGCCGGGGGATTGTAACCGCAGGAACTGCCAAGACAGTGTAATGACGTGGAAGACTAACGAGGATGTTGCAAGGCACGTGATCTTTTCGTAGAAAAGTAAGGTAATGACCGAGCTCTGTACTTAAAAAAATGTAAATCAAAACAATGACTAATGTGAAATGGTGAAAAACTAAGGGGAACTCCGAATACCTCATAGATTCCGAGATTCTTGAGTTAAAGACCTCAAAGGAATTGTTTCAAACGCCATATGGTTGAAAGACCGCGTTCTGTGCCAACGCATTTGAACTCCAAGCATTTATTGATCACTTACAGTGATGGTGATTTAACAACGGCAGGATTGATCAAACTATTGAAAAAATACTTGTTACAATTATTTTTTCTATTTAAAAAATGTATGATGCTAATTTCTGGCTGTAATACCGTATTGAAATAAGTGATCCTATAAACAGCACTGCAAGTCATGAGTGAAAGTGTAAGACGAAAAGTTTGTTGCGTCAGCACATTTTTTGTGAAGTACTGTTATTTTCGTCTAAAGTTTTCAAAATAAAAATTACGCACCACTTGTCACAGTCGTCTTTCACAATATTTCGCAATACGAAAATCAGTCTTCGGAGTATTTCGAGAAGATCTAGAATGTAATGTTATAATGTTAAAGATATACTACTTCTATATCTATCTTAAACCCTGTATAATCGCAACGAAGTGAATAATTTCAGTTACATTAATATTGATTGATAAATCAGAATGTATTTTAATGTTTAAGAAATTACATCAGATACAGTGTAAGGCACATGAACAAAATCATTCTATTCATATCTCATACTTGATAACGAGGAAAATTATGACTTTCCGATTTCAATGTGTTAAATTGGTTGCATTGCAATGCTATACTTTTCAGAGGGAATCGAGGGAGCTGCAAGTCGAGGGAAGCAGCGGCCGCAGGGGCGGTCGGGCGCCGTCCCCCGGTCGCCGTGTGCACCGGCGGGCGTCTGCGCGAGCGACTGCGGGTGCGGCGGGCGACGGCGCGACGGCGCTCCCCCCACCGCGCGGCGCGGCGCTCGGCGCGCCGGCGCCGCACTTCGGGCGTCTCCGGCCGCGCCGGGCCCCCCGCGACGCGGGCGGCCGCGGCGCAGGAGCGCGCGCTCCCGCACACGTGGTAGAGCAGGCTCGGGAAACGGGCGGCGACGGCAGCGACGGACGGCACGGCGCGGAGCGGCAGCGGGAGTGCTTCGGTTCATGTCCGCCGCGGCGAGTCATCTCTAACACGCACCTCCGGCGGTCGCGGTTGAATGCGAATGGTTTTTTTAAGGATAGAAATATTTTAGATTTGGATTTTAAAATCTGCGTCGAAATCTTTTATATCCGTAGTTGAATTTTTTTTAAATTCGGAGTTTTTTTTCTGTCGTTTGTGGCAACAACAGTGCAGTGCGGACGAAGGAAACAAGACGTCGGCCTCGTACCATGAGTGGGGCGTCGGGGCAGCCCTGGGCGTCGCGGGCGGCGTCGTGTCGCGGCCCCGATGTCCACTAACGAGTGCGTGTGTCGAGTGCTCCAGTGATCGCGGGGGAGTCCTGTCAGGACTCCGCGAACGGGACCTGGGATGCGGCGGCGGCCGGTGCTACCCCTCGCGCCCAGCAGCAGCAGCAGCCGGACCTTGTGATCGCGCCTCGAGCGGTCCCGCCCCCGCGTCCGCGGCTCGCGCCCCCCCGCGCCTCAACACCCCCGCCTCCTGCCCCCGGCGGCGGCAGCAGCGATGGACCCTGCAGCGGGCAGCGGCGGCGGCATCGGCATCCTCGGCGGCGACGGCGGCGGTGGCGGCGGAGGAGGAGGAGGCGGTGGAGGCGGCGAAGAATGGTGGGCCGCCCGGCCATGGGGGCCCGGCGACGTGTTAGTGGCGACGCTGGTCGCGCGGACCGCGACGTGTCTGTGCGCGCCGCTCGCCTCCAGGTTCTACAGGTTCCTAGCCAGGTTCTCAGGTGAGTGCATTGTGGCGCGCTGGACAGCTGCGCAGGCAGGCGAGAGACGCGAAATTTCGGCCGCGAGGTCGTGCGACAAGTTAAGTTTTTCTAGTTAGGTGACAAATCAAAGAACTGTCAGTGCCATCAGTCATCTTCGTCATTAGTGTTTGTGTTGTAACAAGTTAACCCAAAGTTGTAATTCACTAGAGCCATCCGTTACTATTCCGTGATAAAACGATCAGTTGCATCTGACAATGAACTCGTAGCAAGTCCCGCTGCGTTGACTTGTTGTCAAATCGGAAAGCTTTACGTCGACACTGTTCTTGTGTACTAAACCTGTATGCCGCGCACTATAATTACAATACAATCTACTTATCGCCTGCGGGGTTTTCCAAATTCTCTGTGCAGTGTATGCGGGCGCGGTGTATCCTCTTCGCGCGAGACGGTCCTCGTTTAAAGGTCCAACCTTCGGGCGGACGCGAGCGAGCGAGCGCACGGTGACCCCGATTCCAACCGCACGCGCCGGTCGGCCAGCCAGTCTCGGCCCGTGGCGGCGGCGGCGGCGACTGCGCCGCGAAGAACGGTCGGGAGTGACCGCGTGTGACGCAACCCGGTAGAGAGGCCGGGGCTGGCAGCTTCGGCGCAGCGCCGTCACCGGGTCTCGCCGCGCCGCGCGATAACCTTCGCTGCCGCGACCTCCAGAAATAGCGGTGGCGGCGCCCGCCCGCCCGCTCGCGCCTTTGAAACAAGAGCGCCGCGTTGTTCGGAGTAATTCGAGCGGAGATGTTAGACGCGCTGTCGCCTTTGGCCCGAGAGCGCCGGCTCGGATTCGCGTGCGTGTGTACCTCGTTTGGGCGCGCCGTCGAGATTTACTTGTTGACGTACGGAATTTGAGCGAAATGAATGGGCGAGAGGGAGCTGCGCGTTCTGTGAGTGACAGTTATCGATGATAGTTTCTTTTCCTCCGACTGTGGAGAAGTGTATGGTGTAGCATTGATTTAATCGAAAATTTACGTTTTTAGCGTGCCCTCATTGCTTTGATGACAGACTGTCGCTTCCGAGAAACGTACCATAAAACTCAAATATTACCTGCAATTTATGGGGGGAAAAGTTATGTTCACTGTTCGTGATAAGATGGATAATTCAGAGTAATTAATTTTGATAACGTGTAAAGCACATCCAGTGTAATTATAGAGAAAAATGTTTAATTTTTTTCGTCAGCTCATGCCCATGTAGAGCAGTGTTCTTCTATTCCAAACCACAAATTTGTTTTTAAAACGCTTCATGTATACTCGGCAAATACGGGTGACTCGGTAAAACCTCGGTGCGCCAACAGAATTGCAAATATCGTGCCACACGTCGCCGGCGGCTATCTGTAGGTCAGGACGCACCGACGTAACTTTCACTGCGGCCGCCCACTCGGTGTCAGGGGGGACGAAAAGGTGGTAGCTCCTCGCGGTGTTGTCGCATGGCCGGGTGGGGCCGGGCGGAGCAGAGCAGAGGCGGTCAGGCACCGCGCGTTGCGTGCCGCTCTAATCGCCAGCGGTGCGTTACACTTCTAGTTCAAGGCCGGCGGCGGGCGCCGCAGATGGCGCGTACGGGTGTCACCGTGCGTGTCCCCCGAGCACTTCCCCTCGCGCCGGGGGCCGGTCGGCTGGTCGCGCGGCAGAGCGCGGAGCTGCGTGCGGGGCGCTGGGCGCGGATGAAACGAACGGCGGTGTTTAAAATCGGCGAGACGTTTGAAAATCGCCGCCGCCTCGCTTTTGAAGAGATGAAATTCCGAAGTGCGAAAACAAACAAAAATTGGGCTTGGAATCGGTTTGAAAGCAATAGGATTGTATATAATTCCACTTTTTGCCCTTTATATTTGAAGATTTTGTTCCTCTCCAAAATATGTTTGACGTGTAAGGAGCACGTCCAATCGTGTATGGGCAGCGTCACTATACAACAGACAATATCAATGTCTGTAATCTTCACCTATTCGCAGAACACTCGATAAATTCTGTTTCTGGATGTACGTATGTGATTTTATGTAGAAATAGTTGGTGTGTAAAATACGAAAATAAATGTCAAACTCTAGCAACTGTGTAGTACATTTGCATTAAACGTGTAGTAATATGTTTCTGAAGTAGAAAATATAACCGTAGACTAAACGAGAAGTTGACTAGACCAGTTGCATAAGAGTCGAGATTACGGGTAAAGCGTTAAGAACTTGGAGTGTTTCCAAAATTAATATTTTTTTCAAAATTTCAGTACGATCTTCACACATTGAGCACAGATCCAGTCAATAACCGAAGCTAGAAATGTTTAAATTGTAATAAAACTGTTTCACTACAAACTACTATTAATTTTATGATAATTTCAACCCAATAGACCTCTTCTTGGCACGGGACACACGGTTTAGAGCGCAGGACGGCTGCTTTTAAGAGAAGCAAGCACACGAGCAAGATGTTTTTGTCGTGGTTTCGCTGAGATACACTCGCACACAATTAGATATTTAACGGCAATCGCTTCAACTCGAGAAGTTGTCTCGCGAGTAACGCCCCCTTGGCTCCGGAGGTGGGCGCCCTTTTTCCTTATGGCTCCCGGCGGCCGAGATTTTTCCGGCACCGCGGTGCGTGGCCCGGGCGGCGCGGCGCCCCCATGCGGCCGGGGCCCTTCCGGCAGGCGCGGCGCGCGCTAACTGTTCCGGGGCAGGTGTGCGGCCGAGAGCGTGCGCGTGTGTGTGACGCGACGCGACGCGATTCGATGCGACGCCCGCTGCCGATACTGCTCGGCCGAACGAAAGAACGCACGCGGTCGCGAGCGGCGGAAGGGAAAAGTAAACACATGCGGAAAGCGCGGCGGCGGCGGCGGTGAAGGAACACGGCCCGGTGGGGAGTAAAAGGCGGTTGTTGGACATTTCATCTACTTAGGGTAATAAGAGTAAATGTGAAAGATTTATAATTTATTTATTTATGCCATATTATTTTTAATGCATGTAATTGTTATGTGAGTAAAAGATACAGATGTATTAATGAAGTCCCAAAGAGGAAATTTAGGAAGAATACCTAATTACAAATCGGGTGATTTTATAAAGCAACTCTCAGATAGTACTTAGTTTTGCATTGCTTAAGTAAATGTAATGTAAAGTGTAAATTATAATATATTAAAAACAATACAAAACAGCTCCCAATACATTCTTATGCACACATTAATGGTAAAGTAAAAATGTAAGGAGAAGTAATATGTTCGGATGCATTTGGTTGCTTTTGGCTGAGGTGGTCTGAAAATAATTCATGGATGTAAAACTTTCGTGACGTATGTATATCATTTTAACGGCGCTTGTAACGCCTGAAGTATATCTGAAATGAAATTAAATTGCGAATCTTTTGGTAATACTATTTTTATGCGATGTAGAAAAACTTATTTTGAAATATATTATAACTGCACTAAATTGAACCGAATCTCGAAATAAGTGTAATTTTGATTGAAATGAGTTCGAATTTGTTACATTGGTTAGGAAGAAAATAATTCTCGATTTCCAAGAAAGATGCTATCCAAACTATTGACATAAAATATAGGAATTTCATTAAATAATGATAGTCTCTTGGAAGATCAGATCCTGCCTGATGTATGTTACATGTAAAATGGAAAACGCAGGTATTGCAATCTGCCTATCCCATCAGTCAGAGGCGTTAAGGGAGATCTCGCGCTGGCGGCGCTGGCGGCGCTGGCGACGCGTCGATCTGGAGAGGCTCCTCAGGCCTCCTGCGCGCGGCGCGTGAGCGCGAGGGACGCGGCTCGCGAAACGAGTTCATCTGGATCTCGCCGTCTGCGTTCCGAACATTCCGAACGCGGGGCTGGCGGAGATGGCTATCGGATTACGCGGACAGGTGCGGATTCATGGGCCGCGGGGCGTTGAAGTATCGGGATTAACGGTGCTCGAGAGGAGCGTCTACTAGTGTTGGCTGTGTGATCGCAATCCTCGGAGGTCTAATCTCTTAAATGTAAATATTTTTTGAAACTCTTGCAGTCGTTAAGAAATTGTGCTTTTCCAAATTGACGGTATGAAGAAACTTGGATCAGAAGCGAATAAGTTATTTCATAGCATATAATTCAAGATATCCTAATGGTAATTGTATTAGCTCAATAGGGAATCTGGTAGTGACTCATTCAAACTGTGGAATGGATTAAATCAAAGCATCTTTGATAAGTCTTCGGAGTGCCGACTCCTAATTTAAAATTCTTATCAAAAACGATTATTTCTCTACCGAGGGAAAGTTTTTCAGCGAAAGTTACGCATTTTGTAATTTCCAGTGATAAATATGCCGAAACTTTCCTATCCTTTCAATTAATTTGGATTCTGTTAATTTTATTTCATGGTACTTAATTGGATGGAGAAATATTAAGCCTTCTCCAGTGCGGAGTACATTATAATACTAATGTATCATTTAGACGTACTAGAATCAATGAGATAACAGAACGCCGCTACTCGGCATTACCATTACGTACGAACAACGATAAAGAAGCAATCAAGAGTCCGTCGTTCGCGCTAGGCGCCAGTTCCATGTGCCCGTGATGGCATCGCTCATCTCGCGTCCAGCCCAGTTGCTCTTCTGAAAAATCGCCCGTTCCGAGCGGCCAGCAGCCCAGGGCGGCGCGGCGGTGCGTGCGAACTGAAGCAGTTCGACTTATTTCCGCGGGCCGGCGGCGGCGGCGGCGGCGGCGGCGGCGGCGGAGCGCAGCCTCCTAGTCGGCGCTCGTTAGGTTAATGCCTGCTTCCTAATTAAGAGACGCTATTCTAATGATATACGGGAGCAAAACGCCGCTGCCGCTCCCGCCGTCGCTCGTTAATTTCGGCGAATTAATAGGCAAAATCTCGCGCGACGCGGGCGGTGGTGGCGGTGGCGGCTGCGAGAACAGTTGCCGGCGATGACGGCTGCGCTGATCGCGGGAGCGGCTGTTGGGTGGCGCACCCGACTTCCCTGGTGGGTCGTCGGCAACCACGAAGAAGCCAACTGCAGAATATTGTAAAG